ATCAAAACCATGTCTTTCCAACTTACAGACAAGGATGTGTCAAATTTTGGACAAGTCCAGACAGATGATGTCAGTTGCTCTTCCCTTACCCATCAATGCTATAATCCCATCGTAGAAGGTTGCCAAATTTGTCAGGCACGATTTGCCCTTATTGAAGCCATGCTGGCTTTCACCAATCACTTCCTTTTCTCCCCATGTGCCTTACCACAGTTTCCAGGAGGATCTGCTCCATGATCGTGCTGGTCACAGAGGTGAGACTGACCAGCCTGTAGTTCTCTGGGTCTTCTTTTTTCCTTTTTTTAAAAATCGGGACTATGTTTCCCCTTTTCCAGTCAGTGGGAACTTCACCTATGATGGATAGTGGCTTTATAACTTCATCTGCTAGTTCCCTCAGGACCCGAAGACGAATATCCTCAGGTCTCATGGACTTGTGCACCTTCAGGTGCCTTAGACGGTTCCAAACCTGATCTTTTCCTACAGTGGGCTGTTCCTCACTCTCTCAGTCCCTGCCTTTGCCTTCTATGACTTAGGCAGCATGGCTACAGCACTTGTCAGTGACTTTTTTGCCTCAGTCTTCACAGAGTACCTCAGCCTTCTCCATATCCCAGGTAACCATGTCTCCCACTTCCTTCTGAAAAGGGCCCACACTTTCCCTAGTCCTCCTTTTGTCACTGACGTACCTATAGAAGTTTTTCTTGTTGCCCTTGACGTCCCTGGCCAGATTAATTCTATCAGGGCTTTAGCTTTCCTCATCTGATCCCTGGCTGCTTGGACAATTTCTCTGTATTCCTCCCAGGCTACTTGTCCTTGCTTCCACTCTCTGTAGGCTTCCTTTTTGTGTTTGAGTTGGTTCAGGAGCTCCTTGTTCATCCATGCAGGCCACCTGGTGTTTTTGCCTGACTTCCTCTTTGTTGGGATGCATCACTCTAGAGCTTGGAGAGGACATCGTTTAATATTAACCAGCTTTCTTGGTCCCCTCTTTCCTCCAGGAATTCATCCCATCATACTCTACCAAGCAGATCCCTGAAGAGGCCAAAGTCTGCTCTCCTGAAGTCCAGGGAAGTGAGCTTGTTGTGCTCCTTCCTTGCCCACCATTTCATGGTCACTGCAGCCAAGGCTGCCCTTGAGTTTCACACTCCCCAGCAGATCCTCCTTGTTGCTGAGAAGGAGGTGCAGCACAGCACCTCTCCTCGTTGGTTCCTCTATCACTTGGAGAAGGAAGTTCTCATCAATGCATTCCAGGAGCTTCCTGGATTGCTTATGCCCTGCTGTGATGTCCCTCCAACAGATATCGGGGTGGTTGAAGTCCCCCCATGAGGTCCAGGGCTCATGAACATGAGGCTGCTCCTATCTATCTATAGAAGGCCTCACTGCTTGGTCTTCCAGGTCAGTTGGCCTGTAGCAGACCCCTACTATAACATCACCTGTCCCTTCCCTCCCTTTAATCCTGACCCATAAGCTCTCGGTTGGCTCCTCATCTGTCCCAAGATAGACCTCCATGAACTCCAGCTGGTCTTTGATATAGAGGGCAACAATTCTTCCTTGTCTCCCCTGCCTGTCCTTCTTAAAGAGCCTGTATCCTTCCATTCCAACACTCCAGTCATAGGAGCCATCCTACCATGTCTCCGTGATGCCAGTAACATCACAGCCCTGCAGGTGCACACACATCACTAGAAGTTTCCTAGTGATGTCCTTAACTCTGTCTTCAGGGAGGCAGTAGACTTCACCAAGAGGAAGGTCTGTCCAGCATACTGGACCCTCCGTTCCCCCCAAGAAGAGAGTCACCTACAACTATAATTCACCTTTCCTTCCTCATGGAGGTGGTTGTAATACAGGGGATAGGCCTTACCCTGGCAACACCTCTGGTATAGATGGACCGTCATCCACATCATCCATTGACTGGCCTTCCACATTCAGAGCCTTGTACTTGTTGTACACAGGCACCTGGGAAGGTGAGGTGGGCCAGCAGGGTGTTCACCTACCGCCCTGACCGTGGACTTGCCTCCATTCACTTCTTTCCTTGAAGCTACTGCCTTCAGCCTGGTGGGGGGAGGATGCAGAATCCCCTTGATCTTGTCTTTTTTCCTGGTGGCTGTTCCTGTTTCTGTTTCAGGGAAGGCAGAGCATGGTTCCACCAGTCTATCTCTTTCTCAAACTCCCTTATGCTCCTTAACCTTTCTACTTCCTCTTGCACCAATGTCACCATGCTGAGCAGGTTGTCCAACCTGGTCACACCTCACAGAGTTGTTCTCACCGCTGCCATCCCTTACCAGTGAAGGGCTCTGGCACTCCCTGCAGCCCGAGACCTGGACGGCTGTATGTTTCTGTAGGAGCTCTGTCTGGGCTGCCACATTCATTCTGCCAAGTGCAGAGGACACAGCTTTCTGCCAGATGGGTAGCACAGCTAAGCTCCCCCTGAGAGGGTGACGGCCACCAACGGAATTCACCTCTTGAGCTGGCAGGGTGACTGTGCCCTTCCTGCACACCTTCTCTTTGAGCTGCAGCACAAACTGCCGCACTGCGCTCTGTTTGCCATTGCAGCACTTCTGGTCACTCGCACTCCCCTGGGCTGCTTTTTGTAGGTGTGCATGCCATCGCTCCGGCAACACCAGCCGCCTCAGTGTTTCCCGCAAGAGCTGCCAGCTCTTGATGGGTCTCTCCACTTCCCTGGCACTTCCCTGCTTCAGGAAAATCCCTCTGTGCGCCAAGATCTATGCATAAGTATTTATCATGTGCAAGTAGCGTAATCCTAGTTCATTCTTTTCCAAAGGTGGAGGAAATCTCACTATAGCTGCATATCCACACACACTTTTACAGTTATCTCATTGTCTTTAACTAGTTTCTGTTGTAAAAAACTGTCAGTTTTGGGACTATACTGTACCTTGCTATATTCTTAAGAATTACAGGTTAGCATTGATTTCAAGCATCTGAATGCAGAAACATGCTACAGTTGGAATTACAGCTAGTTTATTTAACACCACCTCAACAATCCACTCCCACAATCCCCCACCATACACAACACACTCAACAATAAAAAAAATCCACCCTAAGTCCTGCAAAACATCAATAAAAATGCCGCCCAACACAAACTTCCAAACTAAATACAAAGAAAATTCACATAAAAGAAAAAAGAAACCCCAAAACCAATGCCCCTTAAAAGCACCCACATAATGCAAGATATTGATCCTTCCTAAGTCAGTACGCCATTCTAATAACTCATTGTTCCTCTTCAAAATATCAAAAGATTTTCATGCTCTGATAGAAATATAAATCCTGAATACAGTTAGCTTCTATTGTATCCTCGAGTAGGTGAGCAACTTGCTTAGAAACAACAGGCTTAAGTCAAAACTATTCTTATTTTCATCATCTTCAAGTTTTAATGACCTAAACATCAGACTTTCATCAATTTTAACTCGAAATATCAGTGTGAGTAATGTTTATGCAATGCGCTGTGGATGAACAAGCCAGGAAAGCAAATGCTGACCAGTAAGGATGTGAAATCAGGATTTACAGCAATATACTATGCCGACTAGTTTACAGCCTGTCATTAAGGACATGAGTGTATGGAGAAAAAGGACAGGTGTTTCCCCGCAGTTGATGAGTAACGAGTTCATGGAAATAAACAGGAAAGTCAGTCAACTGCTGGCACTTTTTTCCCTGAACTTCTAAACCAGATTTTAGAAGTAAAGCAAAGCATGCTAGCTAGATGAAAATTTTAATACCAACGTATTTCAGTCTTAAATATTTATTCTCTTTACACTATTTCCTGTGTTATTCTAGCCTATTTAAATCACTGAATCACACTTATCATCACAGTTTCTGAGCACTGTGCAGCAATGCCGTAAATTACATGGCTAGCACTTATCATGTAGTTTTTCCTCCTTCTTTCCCTCTTGCCTAGAAGGAAGCTCCATACTGATTTTAAATGATGATGTGTTGTGCGTTTTTATAACTCTGCCTCATGCCTCTGTCATGTATGCATGGTCAACTTTGAGAAAGTATCAAGCAAATTTCACTATTAACTGAAAAAAGGTTCAGTGCAATAAAAAAATTCTCTCAACTTTTTCTGGACTCACATCTTCTATGACAGAAACTGTAATAATTTAAGGAGCAGTTGAGGAAGGAGAGAAGAAGCACACATGCCCATCAGTCTAAACCAAGAACTGCCTTGAGACAAATACGAGCTTTAATTGCATTCACAGAAACATGCTGCGAGTTAGGTATAAACGATATTTCTCCAAACTGGATAAACAGTAACCTGAAGATACTTCTAGTTTATGATAACAGCTCAAGTCAAAGATGAACTATGCCAGGGAGTGACTGTGTATATTAAGCATTAAGCATTCCAGACTTAACATAATTTTTTAGGGAAATGTAGTTGCTTCAGTTTGGATTGCTTTCAATTTTTTTTCCTTTTCTACTCTTGAGGTGAAAGGTCCAGCGCATTAATTCAGGAATTCACACAGTGTAAAATATTAATTTCATTCTCCACAGAGTTTTCATAAAAGAAGATAGAAATAAGCTGCTTTCAACCCACTGAATAATAATCTGAGGAAAAAAACAGTAGAACTAAAAAAAAAAAAAAAAACACATTTTGTTTTTACAACCTCTTGGTGAATAGTTTCCTCAAATCATAATCCAGACAAATTAGTCTCTTTTTTAAAAAATAAAAGACTATATAACATAAAGCATTTAAAACCAGCTTGCAGGTGACACAGGTAATCCTACAGTAACAATCTCTCTCAGGAAGAAGTCCGGAAAACTAGTATTAATGAAGATGATGAAATCAGGAGGCCTTTTTCATCACAAACAGTTCTGTTTGTAGTATCACTATATCCTAAGTAGGCTTACAATAATTGCTTAGTTAACTGTAAGTAACACTAACAGTGTTTCCATAATTTTCCATATACTTGAATCCATAACCTTAGTGGCAGTTCAGGGAGGAACCGTTATCAGTTAAAAATGAGACCACTTCGGTAATAAGGACAAAGAATACATACCGAAAGAAATGTTTCGATATTATCATGAACAAATGATGCAACATCTTGCCAGTCCAGAATATCACCAAGCCAGCTGTTTTGACGGTTTATGTGCCATTTGTGTCCTTTGTGTCTTCCAGAATGCGTTACATTCTTCAAAAGAGAAACAAAGACGTAAAGAAAACAGACATTTTAATAACTTACAGATATGAGAAAGCCAAAGACTAATGTTTTCTTAACAAGGAACAGATCCAACATGCATCTAAATAATTAGAGCTGCGTTAATTGGCATCCTCAAAAATACCTAGAAGTAACTTTGTGCACTCAAAAAATTAAAATCTGGCACAAAACCACAGTTAACTGTTCCATATAATTACAGTTCCGTATATTGTACTGATTCATCTCAGCTAAACATCAGCTTTACTGCTCAACTGACATAACTATCTATCGTGCTCTTTATGAAAGCACACAAGAAAGAGGTAACGACTTCACTTACCGCCTACATAGTTCACTGTTTGCAACATACAACTTTTCCCAGTACAACCCAAAAAGGAAAACACGAGCAGAAGCCAAAACAAGCAGTTTTCTTACAATTAGCATCTACTTCTCCACTGGCAACGACCAGTCATACAAAAGTTAAAAACTAAACTGGAAGCGTGAAGGATTTCTTCTGACTACACAGCTTTGTAACTGCAACACCGCAAGACGACAGGAAACGGCCATGAACACAACAGCTCATTCCTTAAGAGGCTTCACCCTAATTATGAAGTTGCCACCTGTCAAACCGAATCACACCTGACCACTGGCTACCATGAGACTATTTGACTCAGTCTGGGACTGTGACAAGCGTTTCAGAGAGGGATGCCAAAATTCTACTGTAAGCAAGTCTAAGCAAACCCGTTGACTGCAACAGTTCTCATTCTAATATTTAATAGCAAGAGACTTCTCAAGCTCTCATTCTAACGTTTATGTAAGTGTCCCACTACTTCTGTAAGAATTTTGCAAAAACTTTTAACCTTACCAGTCTGCATTCAAAATTACAGTATCTTTTTTGGCATACATGGCAAGTACTATTGCAAGTGGAGTCCCTGCACTGATTTATCTAAGAGCGCATCGCATTTTCTGCTTATTACCAGCTCTCCCTAGATCAACTGTTACACTTTATGATGCACAATTCACAACATTCTTTAACAATCCACAGCAACACAGAGATCCTTCTTCTGAGCTGACAGTTTACTTAGAGCAGAAACATGAGAGTAGTCAAAAATCCCTCTCCAATAGGCCTTCTGTATTTGTAGACTGTATCAAGAATCTATCTGAAAACAGAACTAGATGAACAGAAAAGACAGCTCTCACCATCAACTAGCAGAATTAGGTATCACTTGCAAATTTTGTAACATTGTTTTAATACACACTTCCAGTTCATTATTATTCAGTAGCTATACTATTGTAGCACCTAAGGCCTCTGGTGTTGATAAATAAGGGATTCAAAGAAAATTGTCAACTTGTTCCTCTTCAACAAATCAAATTAGATCTTAAAAACAAAACCCCACACCTGAATGGACTAGGAAGAGGAGATTCTTGTCCTGGAAATAAGACACCTTGATTGCAGAGTTATGCCATCATCCTCCAGGTGGTTTATTACTCTTACTATTTTACTTCACTGGGTACATAAATGCAACGGTAACTGATCTATCACAGCATCTCTAGAACGTTTTGAAAGACACATCATTTGCTATTCAGTGATTTTCTCAGAAAGTAGCATTTAATGATTGAATCCACATTTCTTTGGCAATTCTTCCTCAATTCTACAGCTTTGACAGAAGAGCATCACCTGAGCCTCGGTTCTTCAGTCACCTACAGACTACACAACACCACGTAGGCCTCAAAATGAAGTGTAATTATTATGCCCAGACAACTGAAATAGTGGGCAGCTTTAAAGCTGTACTGAGATATGGCAGAGATGTCCTCCACACTGCACTACCATCTAATTTAACGGTTTTCAGATACACTGAAAGACCCTGCAAGACTACTGCAATATTACAGAAGAAAATAGCCAGGTGGAAAGCACTCAGATGAAACATTTATGTGGATATGGAGTGCAGCAGAAGAGGCAACGTTAGAACTCTGGAGGAGCTACCTGCGGCCCACAAGTAACTGGCTGCAGCCCAGCAAGCCAATGGTGCCACAAGGTCTCTAGTACGTGAACAGTAGCCAGGGGAACAGACTTCAAGATTGTAGGCAGCGAGCATCAGTGCGCTCCTGCAGTTCTTCCTGCCATTTTGATTGCTAGGTAAGCTGTTTCCTATCCTGCCAGAAAAGTATCTACACAAAAGAAGTCTCATAGTATTGCCTCAAATAACAGCTGCAGGAAAGAAATCCCATAACACAGTGAACACAGGCACAATCTGTGCTGCATACTGCAGCAACAAAAATACTCCTGCAGCCCATGGAGTGACAGAGAGCCCTACCGAATGATACAGTGCTACGGACAGGTTATTTTAGTAAAAGCAACAGGTTTATCAGTGTAACTGCCTCAAAAGTGCTTCTCTTGGTCAAGCATTTAAGACTGAATACTCCCCGGCGCTTAAGGCCAGCAAAATCTATGGTAGGTACAGCTTTAATGTCTCCTCACTGGTCCCATATTCCTCAACAGCATCATGTTATCTCTCCACATCTCTTCTACAGCATTATCTCATCAGCAAGAGAAACTGATTCTACTATTTTGACTATTATACTGAAACTGTTACTTCTTTTAATACAGAGATCTTTTTGGAACTTTAGAGGTACTTTAAAAACAACCATATAAAGAAAAGTGTTAATATACTATAACTGCAATTATTTAAATATAGAGCAGTATTTCAAGAGTATGATTTCTGCATTTTGGTATTTCCACTGCACCATGGCTAATGAATTGCTTGCTTTTCCTTTAAAAGGCAAACAGCATTGGCAGCATGAAAATTATTTATTACCTTTTCAAGATTCAGTGTGGAGAACCCATTATAGGAAGGCTAGTACAGTTGGCAAAAATCCATTGTAAGAAACTTAGTGAAAAGATAATTTCTTTCTCAGAATTTCAAGTTAATGAAAGTTACACAAATCATGCAGAATACCAGTTTCCTTTTCCTAACCCCTCAAGATCATGAAAATTGAACAGAAAACTCTAAACTATGAAATATTAAATATAAAAAGTGAAACAAAGCATAAATTAAATTACATACATAAAAACACACATAACTACTTAAGTGAAAGACACAGTTCTGGCTGTGACTGTAGAATCCTACACATTTGAAATTCTACCAACTTTTTATTATTATGACATTTACTCAGCATTCCAACTTTTTGCTAATCTCTTTCTCAGAAATGCATACTTAGCATAATTACCTCAAAGCACTAAGTGATAATTTATACAAATACTATTTAAATAAGTCACCCACCTTCACAAACCAAGAGTGATAAAGCCTGTCCCAGAGCTCTAGCACTTGTTTTTCAATCACAGCGGTGTTATTCACTTTTTCTCCTAAAATTTTATGGAGCTAAAACATACAGAAATCTTTAATTATACAGGATAGAAGATAGGATCTACTAAAACTCCAAGGTAGGTGAAACACATAAGATTGTCAGTAAAGGCATGGCTCAAACCCAAATGATTAGAAAAGCTGAGTATCAGTATGGAATACACTTTTCAGACAACACATTTCACAACATGAAGATTTTGTCTGTAAAAAGCATTCTGCTGCACTAAGCTGAGGACTTTCTTCTGCACTGAAAAACCAATGCTATCTCTAAAATGCTTAACTCAAAATCCTTGATCATCTCTAGAGTAAATATTTAAAATAATCTGAAATGTGTGCTAGATAATAAAACGTATAAACAAGAATCTTGGCAGATTCTCCTGAAGAAAGTTAACTTAAATAAATAGATTATAATTTAAAAACATCCAATTTACCACACTCTGCCCACACAGAAATTAGAATACTGGTGGGGAAAAAAAAAGTCTATGTTGCATAAAATTGGACAGCTAAAGCCAGATGAAAAAAAAAAAAAATCAGGCATCTTTATTTCATGCATTTTCACCGGCAAGCTTACTAAAATGATGACAGATTTTTCAGCTTTTAAAAATAAATATTCCTCTGAGCAGAAAAGACTACTGAAATCACTCCCATCCTTCCTTTAACTCACAAACTAGAGAGTGGAAAGAACAGATCTGTCAACAAAATGGTTAATCACACAAAAAAGAATCACTGACAAAAATTTTTTAATTTCTTTTTCATTTCTTGTATTTCATAAAAGGAAAACATTGAAAAAGGCTGGGGGGCAGCGCTCACTCTTACCTTATGGGTAATCCATTCTCGGCCATACTGGTATACATTATTAGCTGCTGAATTGAGTGCCTTCTGAATAACCTGGGCTTCTGGGAGCCAGCTAGTTTTTTTTTAAAGAAGGAAAACAAAGTTAACCGCTACATATTTTACCCATTTCATTATCGCTGAAACACATTGCAAATTAATATTTTGAAACAACAATAAACAGTTAAGGTTAAATACATATAAACTGACTACAGCTAGAATACTTCCTTCTGCATATCAAGGAAGAGACTTTCTCATAAGCAAGGTAAAATTAAATCTAGGGCACGTCATTGCATTTGTAAATCTCCAAGTTTCCCGAAATCTTAGTTAAACTGGTATCTCAACTTTTTCAAGAGAAATCTGCTCTTCAATCTGTATGTGTGTCTATTCACATTACATTCTTAGAAATTTTCCTAGCGCTCTAGTTTTCTGAAAACCCTACATGAAGCAGTCTCGTCTAGCTGCAAAGACAATCTTCTGAATTACGAACTGAACGTAAACTGTTAACGTAGTTTCCCAAAAAAAGTGACCAGATAAAGCAACTGGTTTGGGCACCAGTTATTTGCAAGTGTCCACCAAACCATCTGCTCATGAACTTCTTCAGGGATTCATGTCACTTTCAAGCAAAGGACCTATTGAGTTGCCAGCATTTTAATGCTTGTGAATACAGCGTGCTCATTCTCTGCTTTGACTTTCTTTCTACATCTTGATTCAATGGCATATGTTGGAGCTCTTCCAAAAGAAAAAAGCATTCAGGAAATAAAACTGCTGCATTTGTTAACCCGACTGAAGATCAACATGGAAGCTTTTCTGTCTGCGTAACCCTTCTGAAATGTTCTCCATTAGAATTCCAAGATATTTCAGTCACTCACCTCTAAATTTAATGTGAGCAACAAGCTCTGAAAGCTGGTGAAGCTTGATAGTCTTTGAAAAGAGGTATATTTACTCCTAAATGAATTAAAAGATAGGGTTTTGGATGCTTTAAATTTGGATGCAAACACTGGAGATAAAAATTTTAGCTAAAATTCTGCTAATTAATCAATTAGTACTCCAGTATTTTCATTATGTGAATAAGCTTCTGACAGTGAAATTTCCATTTTCATTAGTACTACTTATTTCCATCTTACAGCAGAATGGAAAGGCCAAACAACACAAGATATGCCACGAAGGAATAAACAAACACATTTTTAAGTTCCTTCTGTTCTCTTGATTGTGATTACTTATGTATTGCTAAGGCACATATTACTATAGCATTTATTAACCATATCGTTTTATTTCTGTTTTAGAAAATTCCTCTTGCTCTTATAATACAGCGTGCACTTTCTTTCAGTCATGTTAAGCCATCATCACTTTTGTTTAGAAAGTACCCTTGAAAAAAGTCAACCGTTCTTGTCCAGGAGACAATTATTTTTTCACAGTAAGTGCCTGGACTCACCTTTACTCAATGTTTAGCTCAAGCAGAATGAAAGCAAACTGGAACATCCCGCACCTCAAAAAAATCACACTCCTCAGTCTTACCTATTCCCCTCTCTGCTGTTCGTACAATCACTTCTTTATTCACCAGTGTGCCCTTGTTCTTCTCTACACGTGTTTCTCTCAAAGTCTTCTCCCTCCCTCAATATTTGCCTTGGTGTTTGCTTTAATCATTAAATAGACCGTATCATACAAAATTCCCACTGCGTGCACTACACACATCTACTCTTAGTGGGAACAGCCCTTCCCA